TGCTTGCTCTGCAAGCCTGACAGCCAGAGTTCATCCCCAGAATCCACCCAAAGGTGGAGGAGAGAGCTGACTCCTCAAAGTTGTCCTCTGCCCTGCACACATGAGCCCTAGTGCATGCACACCTCACCCCCAGCATATGCACACACAATAACCATTTTAAAAAATTAATCTTTTCTCGGCGGGAGAAGCAGAGTAAGAGGCAAAGTTCCCTCCAGCAGCACTAGTTAGGCTGCACCTCTCACCATGGGGATTCGGAGAGCAGGAGGGTTCCTGCAGGCTTGGGGCTGAGGTTGCTGCTCAGCCATAGGTACTAGAGCCCCCGGGCATAAGGGAACACTTTCGTTTGGAGAGTGAACCCAGTGCCTTGTGTGTGCTAGGCAAGCACTCTACCACTGAGCTAGATCCATTTTCAGCCTCCCTTTTTTTTTTTTGTTTATTTATTTATTTATTTTTGGTTTGGTTTGGTTTTCAAGAGCAGGTTTCTCTGTGTAGCTCTGGCTGTCCTGGAACTCACAGAGATCCGCCTGACTCTGCCTCCCGAGCGTTGGGACTAAAGGTGTGCACCACCACTGCTTAGCTCTCATCCCCCCCCCCTTTTTTTTTAATCATAAACTGATTGGCCCATTAGCTCAGGCTTCTTATTTACTCTTATAACTTATATTTGCCCATTATTCTTATCTGTGTTAGCTACATGGCTCAGTACCTTCTTCAGCAGTATAGTCACATCTTGCTCCTTCTGTAGTCAGACAGGAATGCAGAGGAATGGGCTTTCCTCTTCCCTGAATTCTCCTGTTCTCATTTCCCTGCCTCTACTTCCTGTCTGGTTGTCCCGCCTATACTTCCTGTCTGGCAACTGGTCTCATCCCCATTTTACTTTTTATTTTTAGACAGGGTTTCACTAAATTGCTCAGGCTGGCCATGAACTTGCTTTGTGGACCGGACCAATCCTGAATTAGTCTTGCTGGTAAAGGCAGCATCTGTCCCTGCTTTCATGATTGTGTGTTGTCCTTTGCACCCTTTCTTGTGGCTCTGGGCTTCTGAGCCTCTTCTTCTTTTACTCTGAGGAAGTATGGCCTCGTTCCCACTGACTGCCCCTTTTCTCCTGCAGGGCCAGCTTTTCCGTGGCTCCAGCCTGCTTTTCCGCCGGGTGTCATCAGGATCATGCTTTGCCCTTGAGTAACCTAAGTCGCCTGACCAAACATTTATGGGGTCTTGGCCTACCCCTGGTGAGGGCCTGAGGGACTCCAGCCCAGTCCGGCTTCATGTCCATATTTGCCATGTGTCTGTCCAGATGTGGGGCTGCTGGAGGTGGTTCACCTGGGACCTTAGGACGCCTGGGGAGCAGAGGTGGGGAAGAATCCCCTCCTGCCCGGAGGTACTTGAATCTATCTTGTACAAGGGCAGAGAAAGGCTGTGGAGGCAAAGGTCATGGGCAAAGGCTTACGGGATCAGGTCCCTCCACCTCCAGCTCAGCTCACCCTGCTGCCACTCAGCCAGAAGCACCCGTTCCTGCTTTGTAAATAGGGCGCCATCATGCCTGGGCCTGTGCTGGGAGGCTAGCGCCATGTCCGGCCCTTGTCCTCAACACTACTTTTCTGATTGAAGGGCAGTGCCTTCTCCTGATTGGGAAATCATGTGACTGCTAAGACTATCCCTCTCATTCGCTTGTCTGTGACGCTGACATCAAGTGTGAGGGTTCTGTCACCTGTGCAGTGTGTGAATACACACGGGTCACACAGGCCAATGTCTAGTCCTCCCCTCATGATAGATGACCCTATCTCCTCAAATAAATGTATTGGTGGTGATTTGGACTTTTGTGGGAGCCTCTTTATTCTGTGAGCTTCGCCAGACCCTTGTGCTGATGTCTTAGGTCTCTGGACTGCCAGCGTTTGCCCAGAGGTGTGACATGGCTGAGCCGTCTGTCCTCGGGGTTGAGGCTGAGAGCAGCAGCCGGCACTTGGGCCTTCTGCCAGGGAGGTAGCAGCTGTTCCAGAGAGTCTCATCCAAGCTACCAAGTGGCAGCTTTTGAAGGTGACTGTTTCTAAGCCTTCAGAGCCTTCTGGTACAGCAGCCGCATGGTTAGGGCAGAAGGAAATGGCCAGCCAGAGTGTCTGCCTTCCCTCCAGGGGCCTGGCGTGTGAGAGCTGCAGTCTGCTGCTTCTCTTGTCCCCTAAGAGGTAAGGTCTGGGTCCAGGCAGCTTTGGCGATCTGCTCTCCAGTAGTCTAGTGGCAGGGACTCGGGGGCAGGCCTGCTGGGTCCTGTGCTCACGAGCAGTGTGAGGCTCTCCTGTGCTCGCTGCTGTACTTGACGTTCCCTCTTCTGGAGAGCCTCACCCCAGACAGCGATGACCAGGGATGCAGCCCATATTGTACTGTATCTTTAGATCAGTGTCCCGAGGCTGTCAGCCCAGTGCCCCCACCACATCGATTGACCACAATGCTGGGGTGACTCTTCCTCTAGATCCTGTCTTTGCACTGGTCCTTCCAGTGACCCCCAGATTTAGGGACATTTGTATTTCAAAGTTGAGCTGAGCTGTCCCCTTGCCATGACCTCCCAGAGGTTTCTAAGAAGCTGCCCAGCCTAACAAGTAAGGCTTTGGTGGCCTGACCATTCGGTACAGGAGGCCCTGCTGTTCCCAGATACTATCCTGGGAGCTGGAGCAGGGACCTTATCAGTTAGGAGGTCTGGTGGCCTTAAGCATGGCATAGGGCAGGAGCTGAACTGCCAGTGGGGGGACAGATGACTCTAGTGGGGGTGTCCTGCAGGGAACCAGTGGCCTCCTTCCTGGGTAACCTTATTCTTAGGGAAAGTTGGAAGGACCTGCAGCAGGCCTGAGACTTCCTCTTAAGGAGGCAGTGGTAGCCTGAGCTGTTCCCTCAGCAGCCCATGTCATTGCCAGCCCTAAGAAGCCTGGAAGCCGTGGCTTACAGTGCGAAAGACTCTCAGGTCATCAAGGCCTCTGGGTGCCAGGCCTCTCGATCTTCTGTTGAACACAGTTCAGTCCTTACTGACATGTCCCCCTCCCATCTTAGAGCCTGAGCTCTAGAAGCCTCCCTCATCCTGTACCCCTGATCTTTGACAGATCTGCAGGCCGCCAGTAGATGCTGAGCAAGTCAGGAAGAGCCACAGGGAAACTGGGATAGGCTTGGGCCTCTGCTTGGTCCAGAGGCTCCCACCCGACCACTCAGGCCTAACACTAGCTCAAAAGATGGCCCTTCAAGGAATGCAGCCGCCGTAACACCTGTAGATCAGCCAGATGTTAAAGTCATTTACTCTGACCACATAACCATCTCAATAGACACAAAGAAGGAAGGCCTTTGAAAAAAGTCAACACTCTCACAAGAAAATACTCTAGTAGACAAGGACTAAGATAGCATCCATGCAAAATTCTCACAGCTGGGCCTGGGGAGATGGGTCAGTCTGTAAGGTACCCGCTGCACAGGGTGTGAGAGCCCAAATGTGATCCCTAGCACCCCCACAAAAGCTGGGTACGGCGATGCAGGTCTGTAACCCTAGCACTGGGGGCAGGGTGAATGGGGAGTGGAGACAGATCCCTGAAGCGCATTGGCTAACTATCCTATCCAAATTGAGCTCCAGCATCCCTGAGGGATGCCAGTCATCTCACAAAAAACAAGGTGACGGCTCCTTAGAGTGACACACAAGATTGATCTCAGCTACCCGTGCATATGCACATGTGAGTGTTACACAAACCCGTACACACACTGCAGCTTTGTAGTGAAGAAAGCATTCATGCTGCAGAAGAGGGGGTCCTCTGACCTTGAGCAAATTGGCATGAGCCTCTCCCCCTCTCAACAAAAAGAGAAGGAACAGGAAAAGTACATACAGATAGAAAACAGAGGAGCAGTTGCTTCGGGCTAAGGGGGGTTGTGTGGGAGTGGGGACCGGTGTTTCTTGGGTAACAAAAATGTTGGTATTAGTTACAGTTACATAGTCCTATAATACACTAAACCTATCAGGTTGGGATTGACCAGTTGACTCAGTGGGTAAAAGGGACCTGCTGCCAAGCCTGACACCTCGAGTTTGATCCCCAGAACTATTCCTGCGGGTTGTCCTCTGACCTCCCATGCATATCACTGTGCTTGCCCCACCCTGACAGACACTAAATAAATCTTCAAAACATTTAGTTGTGTGCCAAATATGGTGGTGCATGCTTTTCATCCCAGCACTCAGGAGGCAGAAGCAGGTGAATCTCTCAGTTTGAGTCCAGCCTGGCCTACATACAGAGCTCCAGGACAGCCAGGGCTACATAAAGACCCTGTCTCAAAAACAAAACAAAACAAAAAAACCTACCCCAATAAAGATGTTGGGGTAGGAAAATGTGTGGAAGTTGGAGGGTAACTTGTAGGAGTCTGTTTTCTACCATGTGGGTCCAGGGGATTGAACTCAGGTCATTGGCTTGACAGCAAGCACCTTTACCCATGAGCCATCTCACTGGCCCCAAGTCGTATAGTTTAACTAGATGCCTTCTATGTCTATTGAGAGGAGCAGCCTGGACCAGGGCCAGTACTCGTTTTCTGGCCCACTCTATTCTGATCCCCAGAGAGGTTTCTAGGCCCGGGGACCCTGTCTTGGGGCTCCTCCAAGCACCTGAAACCTGTGTCCAGGACAGGCCCGGAGCATCAGCACCCTTGTGGAAATTTCCTGAAGCCACCTGAGTAAGTCCCACTGATTCTGAGGTTAGGGGAGCCAGCACCCACTGATTCTGAGGTTAGGGGAGCCAGCACCCACTGATTCTGAGGTTAGGGGAGCCAGCACCCACTGATTCTGAGGTTAGGGGAGCCAGCAGGCACCCTGAGCTGCCTTCTCTCTGCTCTCTCTTCCCTGCCAGGCCACTTGTGTCTTGGGTGGAGCAGAAGGTACAGGAAGGAAAGGGGGGCTCAGAGTGAGGGAGAGGGGAGAGAAAAGGCCGAAGTTGCTTAGGTGGGCAGAAGCAGCTGCCCACAGTGCTCCATCTCACACAGCAGAGACTTGGCTCTCAGACAAGCTTTATTCAGGAGTCAAGGCCACCTGGGTTCCCTGGCTCCCTGTCTTCCCACCCACAGAACCCCACTTGGGTGGGGCTTGTTCTTCACCTGCCCCTCATGGTCTGCTGTCCCAGCCTTATGGACACTCAGAGATTGGGAGCAGAGCATCCCTCTTCCACCCTGTGGGTCAGGCAGGTATCCTCAGAATCATGTCCTCTGTAAGGGGCAGGAAGGGCCCTGGTGTGCAATTTCTGGTGAGCTGGACCCCACAGCTTTTCCTTTCCAGAGGGCCTTGTTTGAGGGCTGGGGACAGGATGGAGGACACAGCAGTCAGGCGGCTACCTCTTCTCCCTGGGAAGGAGTAGGGACTTCTGCAGACACTCCTGGACTCAAAAGGCTCAAGAAAGAGCCCAAGGGACTAGAAGGGGCCAAACAGTTCCTGAGGAGGCTATGATTCTCTGTCCTTAGGCACATGTGGCCCCTAGAATCCTGCTGAAGGCAGCACCCCACCCCCACCCCCGTGGAAGAAGCACTTCTGGGGGGAGGGGGTATTGGGCTGGCACTGCTCAGTAGAGGGGAGGGAGGGTGGCAGAGAGAAGGACCTGCTCCAGAAGCTCTGGCTTCTAACTTGGAGACAGAATTCAGAACAGGCATGAGGCCAGTCTCACCAGGCCTTGCCTCTGAGTGTCCCCTTCAGAATATTCCACTCAACAGCAAAGGAGGCAGCAGCAGTCCCAGGAAAGGGCCCTGAACGTGACCAGAATTCTCCAAATCAAATCCGGCATCTGCAGAAAAGAAGGGGCTGTGGCTCGATTTGAAAAGAGCCTGACTCCATACACGGTGCAGGCAGCAGGCAGAGGAAGCATCTTCCAGATCACGCATGCTTTGCCATGCCCCAGCTGCTGGTACCAGCACAGGACACCAGCCAGGAAGGGAAGGAGGGGCTGCGGGCCTTACCTGTCAAGGGTGACTGCAGGGCCAAGGTGCGCCCACCTGTGGCATTAGCCTCGGCAGAGACACTGGGGAAGTTGGGCAGGGAGGTGGAGGCAGGGGGCCCCGAGTGGTCCAGTGAGGCCTGCGGCCCACCATGCTCCTGGGCTGGAAGAACTGGGACCACCACCTCACTGGAAACAGGCAGCTCGGCCTCTGCCTCAGGCAATTCGCCCTCTGCCCCAGGCAACCGGGCCTCTACTTCAGGCAACCAAGCCTCTACTTCAGGCAACCGGGACTCTGCTTCAGGCATTTCAGCCTCTGCTTCAGGCAACTGGACCTCTGCCTCAGGCAATTCAGCCTCTGCCTCTGGCAATTCCGCCTCTGCCTCAGGCAACTCTGCCTCTGCCTCAGCCTCCTCCTGGGCCAGGGGTAGGGACTCTCCTGTCTGTGTCAGGGATATCTTAGGGTACAGAGATTTCTCTGGGCTCATGGAGGTTGCGCTCGACTTGCTGCCTTCTTTGTCCGTAGATTTGGGGACAGGGATATGCGCTGATGTGAGGAAATTAATTGGCCCCTCATCCATTGAGGGCTGGGTGTGCGTAGTGGAAACGTAGGGGACCTCGGTCGGGAAAGATTGAGCCTCTGTTGCCATGGAGGAAGGGCCTTCCGTTGCTAAGGAAGATGGGGCTTTTGTTTCTACCGCAGGTGAGGACTCGGTTGCCAGGGAGTCCGAGACCTTTGTTACCGAGGAGAAACGTAGAGTCTCAGAGGTTGCTAGGGACGGAGTACCGGTTTCCCTGGAGCTTGGGGCTTCAGTTGCCCGGGTGATGGAAGGGACCTCAGTCACCCGTGGAGGAGAATCCTGCTCCTCTTTCGGGTTTCTTGTGGGCTCTGTTTGGCAAGGCTAAGCATTAGTGTTGCAAACGGGACCCCACCCGGCCGCGCAATGTTCCACCGGGACGCGCAAGCCACACTCCTCTGCAGCGTGTGTGCCCCTCTGGTAATGTAAATTCTCATCACTGACGCGACTCCTCCACCCACCATTTTCTCCAAGCTTCCCTTAGGGACTGAATTGGAGGCACCGCCTATTTGATCACAGACCCCGCCCACCAGCCCAAACCTTCCCGCTCAGTCACGCCCCCTGGCACGGCACTCCAGGGCCTCTGGTTCTCAACCCTCTGTAGGGACCGAAGGATGGAATCTGTCACTTGGGGCGCCAAGGTGGCGGTACAGGAAGGGCAGAAAGTCGCAGAGAGTCCCCGCCGTCGCATCTGTAGCCCCATCAACCTGCTTCTCAAGTTGGGAGTCCTGAGACTCGAGGCCACCCAGACAGTGTCGCATTCTCCCAACCCCTTCTCAGCTCTGGCCTGTCACTCACCACAGAGAGAGTTCTCGCAGTTGTAGCCAACGGGGCACTGGGAGCAAGGAGTCCCTTCCTGGTAGGGCTTGCGCCCCTTCACGTTCCCCCTGAAGGAGAAGGCATTGCTGCAGGGGAAGGTCTGCTCCTTCTTACCCATCCCCCTGGTCCCCAGAGGCACAACAGGTTAGGAGCCCACGGGGCTGCTAACTCCCACAAGTTGCTTGCTGGGGACCACAGGCTCCTTGGCATCCTCTGACTAACTAAATTAGATCTGCCATCGGAGGGACATCACAGCTGCCAGGAAGGATAGGGCCAGCCCACAGCGTCCTTGAGCTGTATCCAGGTCTGTTCTCTCCCAAACCGCCAGCCTCACGGGCACTTACGGGGGCTCATAGTTGCACACCAGCAAATGGATGTTGGCTTCCTCCACTCCGTGGAGCGACTCACAGAAGTGGGAACCACAGCCAATCCTCTCCGTCTTGCTCCAGACTACCTACAGGAGGGCAAACCCAGCAGGTTAGCTCTGGGCAGACAGTCCCTGCCACGTGTAGCTCTACTCCAGCTTTCTGTGGGTGGCTTGAAGACACTCTTTAGCCTTGGCCTTCTGAGTCAGCTAGAGGTTGGAGGTCATAGCGGCTACCCTCTCCTGTCAAACCAAGTCACCAGGCCTCTGATACACCCTGTCCACTTTCCCTGTGGCTTCTTTCTAGAGGTTCTTAGGATGCTTTTTGTTTGTTTTGTTTTTTGGGATTTCTTTTGGGCAGGGTTTCTCTGTGTAGTCCTGGCTATCCAGGAACTTGCTTTGTAGACCAGGTTGACTGAGAGAGAACTCAAGAGATCTGCCTGCCTCTGCCCCCTGAGTACTGGAATCAAGGCATGCACCACCACACCCAGCTCTGTCCTTTTAAACAAAGGGTACACTCAAAGAAGAGATGGTGGAGAGTCATAGCCACAAGGGAAGACCAAGGAAGGGCTACGCTGAACTGAAACCTTCCTCATCCCAACTCTCTCCTCCGCCAGGGTCCCTCTCACTCACTTTGTCTGCCTCTTTGGGGGAACGGGCTGGCTACTAGAACAATTTCTTCTTATATACAAAAACAGCGTTAATCCCAGCTCTGGAGACAGACACAGGCAGATCTCCGTGGGAGTTCAGGCCACCTTGGTTACCTAATGAGACCTGTCTCAACAACAAAACAAAAATGTGTGTCCTGCCATGGGTGTGAGAACACCGGGCTCTCGTCCATTTCCAGGCTCACGTTGTCTGGGGGTGGGAGGTGGGGAGGGGCCCTGCTTGTGCTATCTACGACTCCTTGGGTTCCTGTTTGGGCAGAGATGGCTCCTGGCTTCGGGTAGAGCCAGAGAGAGTTTGGTCAGTCTGGCGGCACTGTGTCTGCCGGGTGAGGTGAGTTGCAGGGTCCCAGGAGAGAGGGTGCTGGGACCTCACAACTTCCCATCTTGGGTGGGTGCTTCTGAGTATTTCCTTAAGATTAGGGCTAAAAATATCATCTCCAAAGGGCACTGAAAATGGGGAGGGAGGGATGGGAGTGGGATTCTTTTTCTGGTGTAATCATTTGTACAATAAGCATTGGGAAGAGAAAACAATTCCTTTAATTCTAATCCTAAGTGGTTTTGCTGGTGTTTGTGTGTGTGTGTGTGTGTGTGTGTGTGTGTGTGTGTGTGTTTGTTTTGTTTTTGAGACAGGGTTTCTCTGTAGCTTTGGAGCCTGTTTCCTGGCACTAGCTCTTGTAGACCAGGCTAGCCTCAAACTCAGAGATCTGCCTGTCTCTGCTTCCTGACTGCTGGGATTAAAGGCGTGTGCCACCACCCAGCTCTAATCCTAAATGTTTTTAAAACTTTTTTTTTTTTGTAAATGGGGTAGAGGGAATCCAGCTCGGTCAGGTTTGGTGGCAACTCCCTTACCCACTACTCTCATCTACCCTTTTACAGAGTTTTTTTCTAAAGCAAAAATTAAATGGGTTCGTCTATCTGCTTTATCAGTTAGGCAGATTTGAAACAGCAAATTAGACGTGAAAAACGCCAAGAGTGCTGGGCGGTGGTGGTGCACGCCTTGAATGCCAGCACTCGGGAGGAGGCAGAGGCAGGTAGATCTTTGTGAGTTCGAGGACAGCCAAGGCTACACTGAGAAACCCTGTCTCAAAAAAAGAAAAAGAGGGAAAGAAGGAGGGAGGGAGACCGAGACCCAAGAGCAACAAGTGGCAGGAAAGGGGTAAGTGGGGCGTGTGCCGCTGCTGCGAATGCTTTGGACCTCTCAGGGTCCACTGTCACCCAGGACAATCTTTGCATTCAGGAGCCCGGCGCTGTGACACCAGGCTGAAAAGGTTGACCTAGGTTGTCAAAAGATGAGCCTTTAGGAAGAGATGAAAACGATGGGGGCAGTCTGAGTGGCCTCTGCGCGCTATCTGCTGTGCACATCGTTTTCGGAGGCTCTAGGGAGAGTACCATTCTAAAGCCAGGCTGCTCCCACTGGAGCCAAAAAGCTACGAACGTGGCCCAGCACGAGGCTCCACCCAACACCCGCAGATCCTGCCCGCCCCGTCCCGGACCAGGTGGCTCCACCCAACACTAAGAGGCCTCAGCGCACCCCACCCCCGCCCAACGTGCACCTCGAGGTCGAGACCAAACTCACGCACGCACGTGGCACATCACATCACTTGGAGCCCTCCCTCTACTTCACGAGGTCCAGACCCTCTCCACACAAGTGACCCCATACTCCTGGAGGCCCCGGTCCGCCCCGCCCATCTTGCTGGCGGCCGTAGCCGACACCAAGAGACGCCCCCATCACGTGGCTGATCCAACAAGCAGAGGCCTGCCCCGCACCTGGAGGCCTCAGCCCTCACCCACCCACACCTGAGCTCAGCACGCGAGGCCCTTTGCCCTTCCTCCGCCCCACCCCCGCCTTCCTGGACCTGTCACCTGAGTGTAGTGGCCGCACATTTGGCCCGGATCGCAGGTGGCGGTGCTGAGATTGTAGTGTTCGCGCTCCTCAAACCAGTTCCCCACGGCCAGCGGCACGTCCATGCCCTCGTCGGTGATGGCGAACAAGTTCTCCCCGCGCCGCCCACGCTCCTTGTTGTGTCCCCACACGCATTTCTGCGCATAGGCCTTGGCGAAGGCGGCTAGGTCGTCGTCCCACCTCTGCAGGGCAGCCAGGGAGGCAGAACAGGGAGGTGAGGGTGGTCAGAGTAGGCTGGGGTGTCCTGGGACCTCAGTAGGCCAGAGACAGGGCTTGCCTCACCACCTCTTAGCAAGGTGACTCCCGACCTTTCTCAGAAATCTGATCCCCGTGGGTTTCAGTGGGATCGGGAGAGAGCCACCTCAGGCCTCTCTTACTCCTCACAAGGCGAGATGGGGGACTGAGGCCGAGTGTGATCTTACTTGGAGGGTTCCGTGTAGCTGGGGAGGGGGTGGAGACGCTCGGAACGTGTCCAGTGATATGCTGGAGGACTGATGGTTTGTTCTGGTCCACCCCACTGCCTAGGCCCTTCCCAGCAGGCACTCTTCCTAAGAGCTCAACTCCCTTCATCGGGTCCCTCCTCCGGATGAAATTGTGTCTGTGTGGCACACAGAAGGTCCCTCACTTCCAGTCGTCAGAGCCTTGCTTAACCCTAGGTCAATGCTCTCCATGGGCATCTCGGTGAGACGCTGGGAAAAGAGCAGTTTTGCATAGAGCCGCTCCAAAGTTCTGAAGATGCAGCCAGTGTGGGAGGTGAAGGATTGGGGCATCTGACCCCAAGGACTGAGGCAGAAGGTCTGGATCCTATTAAATTCTGTTCTTGGCCTTTCCTGGAAACGGATGCTTGGGGGGCACCATTCCAGCTTTCAGAGCCCGACAGCCAAAAAAGCAGCAAGAGCGTGGTGACAACGAGACCGTACCCACTTCCCACCCAGTCAGTGCTTTTCGGAGCAGCCGCCTGGAGCCTGAACCCGGACAGAACCACCGCTGTGCCTTAGTGACCCCTTTCTCTCCGGTCAACTTTAAAATTTTGTACATACTATTAGGTGTGTGTCTGTCGTGAGGCTAGCGCACACCCAACAGGGCCTGCACGACCTTCAGAGTTCATTGCTTGTCACTCTAGGGAGGGGACTCAGGCTTGCTCAGGCAAGCACTTTTACCTGAAGGACACCTGGCTGTCCCTGCTCTAGCCTTTGGTTTCAAATCACAGGATTGGGTAGTCCCATGGACTCTGGCAACAGTGGGGGTGGAAGCTGCGGTCAGGGACTCTAGGATGATCTGCAGGGCTCTGGGAGAGACAGGCCCCTTCTAGGGCTGACAGTACCCTGCTCTCCATCCGTCACCATGCTGGGGATTGTGGGTACTTCATAGATAGCTGTCAGTTCTTCCTGACTGAGAGGGAAGCCACCGTGGGTTTCTCAGCCTGTGGCATTGCAAGAACCATGATCCTCTGTCCTGGAAGTAGGTCTGTCCACCCTGTCATTCAGTAGTCCTGGGCACTGGGCCAGGCTAAAGCAACAGTAAGAACCAAGAAACCTGACTTCACGTAGTCATAAGTCACTTGGAGAACATAACCGCTGTGGTCAGTGGCACAGGCAACTCAGTATTGTGGGGCATGGGAAGGCTGTGTAGCCAGGCTGAGGGTGGAGAAAGAGATGGGGCTAAATGACAAGGTGCTAGCCAGGTGGGGGGCACCCTGAGCAAGGTGCACACTGGCAGCAGGGGTGTGCAGTGTCTATGGCGACTCTGGACCTCAGAGTCCAGGTAACTGATAACTAGTATCCCGGCTTCAGATTTGTCTGCAGTCCCTGGTTGCCAAGGACAACAGAGTTGAGATGGCTATGGTGCTGTAAGCACATCTCACACTTCTGTGTGGCCTGCAGAGCGGGGACTGCCATACCTAACCGTCCAGCAGGAAAAGGCTCCCTCAGAGTCACCAAGCCACAGAGGACAAGCTGAGGCTATCACCTAAACGTGGGGACCCCAGCTTTGCTGCTGTATTTCCCTGGTGACTTGGCTCTTGGCTCAGGGGTTCCAGTTCACCAGAGGGTGTCTGGGGGTGGGGTGGGGTGGGGTGCTGGACCAGTCAGACCTCTGCAAGAACGGAAAGGGATCTCACTTTATCAGTTGAAACCAGAGCAGACATCCTGTCCCAACCCTGTCATCTGATAGCATCCCTCCTGCCAGATTGGCCGCTGCCACCATCCCTCTGGCTCCTGTTGTCTGTGCCCTTCTCGCTGCCGTGAAGACAGTTTGTATTTGTGCTACATGTGTGCTTTAGACTTCACTGCATGCAGGATTACATATGTGAGATTCAGCCCACGTATGTGAATGTGTTTAAGACCTCATTTCACAGATGAGAAGTTGAGGGCCCACATGGTGACAGAAGGGGCCCTAAACCACAGTCTGGGTGCTGGAGACAGCACCTGTGGCCCTTCTCAGGCCTGCTTTCCCCTCCTCAGAGCTTCCCAGGTTCATCCAGGCTCCTCTCCTGGGGGATTGTCAGGCCATTCACAAAGAGCTTCCCCTCAGGTCAGCACATCTTGGGAAGAGTTGAGGAGGAGGCCATCAGTGTGGGGAGCCAGGGTTGAAGCCTGAGTGCCAGTCCCTCAAGCCTCAGTTTCCCCATCTAGATAATGGAGCTGCATATGAGGACCAGCATTATACAGCATTAGGAACTCTGCCGCTGGCCAGAGGAAGGGGTCTGAGAGCATCCCCACGAGGAGTGGGGTGAGGCAAAGGGTTGCGCCCAGCACCCCTCCAATCCCAGGAGGCGGGGCCCTCAGTCACACTCACCATCTGCAGCATGTCTGAGGCTGGGGGGGACACCTGGGCACGGTAGAAGTTGTGAAGCTCCACCACGGTTTGCTTCTCATCCTCCGTGAGGGCTGAGGTGGGGCCAGCAGCAGTCAGCAGCAGCAGCAGTGGGGACAGGGCTGTCGCCCAGAGGCTGCAGGAGCTATGCATGGTGGCCAGCCCTCTTAGTCTCTCCCGATCAGGGGTCTGGCGGCTGAACTTAAAAGTTCTTCCCACACAAGCACCACCCTGGCTAGGGTGGGGCGGCGGGGGCTGTGTCTGGACGCCCAGCCCGGCTCACACAATGTCTCCAGGAGGGCTGGGTGCCTTGGGTCTGGACCAGAGTTGAGTCCACTCCCCTGGAGTCCTTGGCAACAGTCTCCTTTCTCTCGGCACCGGGGCTTAGGCCAGGGGCTGTGAGCCCCATGGACCCTCCAGAGGTGTGGGCAGATCCTCAGGGGGCAATTCCAGAAACGGCTCACACCCACAAATGCTGAGGACAGGACAAGGAAGGAGTCTTATAGATCTGCTTCCCCCAGCCCCACCCCAGGATTGGGTTGGGGAAGTTGCCAGTGCCACTGAGAGAGCAAGGGAGGACAAGAGGATGTGCCCAGCTGCCTGGTCCCTAGGCCCTGGCCACGGAGATGCATGTGGTAGAACTGAGTTGTGACAGCCACATTAAGTGACTACCTCAGGTCCTCTGCAAGAGCATCAGGCACTCCCCAATGCTGAACCTTCTCTAGAGTCCCTTTTAAATGAGACTAGGAATAGCCACAGAGACAAGGAACAAGTGGAGGTGGGGGGTTGGCAGTCTCTCATTCCTCAGATGAGGTTTTCATTATGTAGCCCAGGCTAGCTACTCTCCAGTTGCTCTCCTTCTGCAATCGCAGGTGTCCCCCTCTCCATTTTTTAAAAAGATCTTCTCTGAGACATGACATGTGGAGTTGAGGTTCCTGACCAGTACAGACTTGTGAACGCTTAAGTGTGAAGACTTAAGAACGAGCCAGGCAGCAGCAGCGCACACCTTTAATCTCAGCACGAAGAGGTAGGCGGATCTCTGTGAGTTCGAGACCAGCCTGGTCTACAGAGCTAGTTCCAGGACAGGCTCCAAATCACAGAGAAACCCTGTCTCGAAAAACCAAAACCAAAAAAATAATAACTAGAATTTAAACAGACACATTTAGAAGGGGTAGCAGAAGTGGGGGGTCGGTCCAGAGAGGTCTACTCCAAAAGTGGTCTTAAGTAAACTGCCTGAAGGAAATGATGGTCCACAGGCCTCGCGCTCTGCTGTGTGGCCTTGCTCCTGCCTCAGCTGTCTACACTGAGCTAGATCCTCACCTGTTCTTCACTGTGCCTCTCCAGCCGCGGCCAGCGCTTCTGTCAGCCTGCTGCAGACTCACGGTGACAGCTGCAAACTCACACTGTCAGCCTGCTGCAGACTCACGGTGACAGCGCTTACTTGTTTGAATCCCATGGCCCTTCGGGTTCTTTCTCCCAGAAGCGGTTCTAGCACCCTCTCCACATGGCCACCTGAAGATGGTGCCACGGAGGGTGGATCCTTGGGCAAGGGAGCCACCATGGGAGGGGACATCTGGCTCCCGTGGACCACAAGCCTTTTCTGGAACCCTTGGCATCCACACCTAGGAATACTCGCTTCCTGGTGTAACATCTGCTTCCTCTCAGAGATAAGGAAAGAACCCAGGCTTTTCCATTGGGGGAATTCCCAAAGCAGGATGGATAGTCACATATAAATCTGAGCTAAGACGACACACAGACCAGGGCTGGGTGGAGCTCAGTGTCAGGGCACATGGGTTTGGTCCCCAGCACTGCAGACCACCATGAAACCAGGCAGAGGAATTTAATTAAAAAGAAAATAGTTAAAATGGCTGAACTCATTTCAGACCAGGAGCAGTGGGTTGAGACTTGACTCAGTAGACACCTGTCTGGGCTAAGACAAATTACTGACGCAGGACTGTTGTCCCAGGCCTCACGGGACAGATGGGACAAAATGATAAACTACCTTCTTCGAGAAACATGAGGCTGGGCCTGAGCCTGCAGTCAAGCGTGAGGAGGGAGGGGCACAGTCAGGGCATAGCAGGGATAGGGAGTGTGTATGACTGGCAGGGGGCCAGCTTGTGCAGGTGTTTGTGACTAGCCAGGCTCAGAGCTACTGACAGCTGGCACTGGGGACCAGGGAAGAGTGTGAAGACAAAGGAGCAGCTGAAGGAAGGGTTAGCTGTCCACAAGCAGCCCTTCCTCCAGTCCGGTCTCACGTAGCCCAGGGTGACCTCAAACTCCTGATCCTCCTGCCTCCAAATTCTGGGATTCCGAGTGAGCACCACCACTCCGAGCAAGTGTCTGCTTATCTTAGGGGTGGTCTTCCTTACACGGCACCTAGTGCACAGGGACCCAAAACTCCAGAGAAGTAAAAGAGAGTTCTGATGATAGCAGAGGTACCTGTTAGGGGATGGTATCTTCAGCTGGGTGACTTTTGTTTACGTTGCATTTGTTTAACTCTGTGAAGCTGTGTTACTGTGCCTGATTAGAACACCTGACGGTCTAATAAAGAGATGAACGGTCAATAGCGAGGCAGGAGCAAGGATAGGCAGGGCTGGCAGGCAGAGAGGATAAATAGGAGGAAAACCAAGAAGGAGAAGCAAGAGAACAAGGAGAGGAGAACCTCGGGGGTCAGGCAGGGAAAATGTTCACTCCAGTGTAGGGAGAGTGAAGAACAGAGAAAGGTGGAGATTCTCGTTGTTGAGCCGAGACTGCCTGGTTATAGAAGAGCAGAGATGGCAAGCGGCGAGTCCTCAGTGGGCCGTGGAAGCAAGTTCTTTTAAAATATGATAAAGAGTCTGGAGAGATGGCCCAATGGTTAAGAGTACTGGCTGATCTTGCAAGGATCCAAGTTCAATTCCCCAGCACCCAAATGGCAGCTCGTAACCGCCTATAACTCTAGACCCAGGGATCTAATGCCCTCATCTGAATTCTGTAGGCACCAGAAACTCTTGTGGTACACATACATGCACACAGGCAGAACACTCATGCCCAGAAAACAGTAAGTCTAACAGTCTAAAAGATAAAAACCTAACTGGTGAGTGCTGTGTACTGAATGGAGGATATACCATAGTCCACAGAAGCAAGAGATCCAGCCTGGGCTACCACAAGAAGCAGCAGTCCTTTCAAAGAGAGGGTGTGGGGGGCTGGGGTGTAACTCAGTACACTCTGTGCTTAGCATATTCTAACTTAAGGATCAAAAATTAAAAATCAATAAGGAAAGAAGGAAGATAGTGTACAGAAAGTGGGTTGAGAGGAAGGAGAGAGAAAAAGAAGGGAGGGAGGGACTGAGAGACGGGAATGAGGGAGGGACTGAGAGACGGGAATGAGGGGGGGGAGAGACTGGTGGCCCCAACATCTAAGAGACAAAAACAAAGGAAAAGGGCAGCAGTAACTGGAAACAGACACTCCCAGCAGCCCTTGAGCCACAGAAGAATGAAATGACCTGTGTGGGCTCAAGGATGAAAGGGCAAAACAAAATGCAAAGATCACCCTGAGGGGACTTCACAGGCTGGAGCGGACACACGGCAAGAAATCAACAGATACAGCCTGGAAAACTGCTTGCTTTTTTTTGGGGCGGGGGCGGGGGCGGGGGTGGGAGGGGGGGACACGGGCACACATTGTTTTTCTGTGTAGCTCTGGCTGTCCTGGAATCCACTTTGTAGACCAGGCTGACCTCCAACTCAGAAGTCCACCAACTTCTGTGTCCCAGAGTGCCAGGATTAAAGGTGTGCATCACAACCACCTGGCAAGGGAAACACTTTAAATAGAAGGCTTGAGATAGTCACAGTAAATGAAAAGTTTTGTTTGTTTTATTTTCATTTATTTATTTATTTATTTTATTTTTGAGGCAGGGTTTCTCTGTGTTGCTTTGGAGCCTGTCCTGGAACTAGCTCTTGTAGACCAGGCTGGCCTCGAACTCACAGAGATCTGCCTGCCTCTGCCTCCCAAGTGTTGGGATTAAAGGCATGTGCTACCACTGCCCGGCTTTTTTTTTAAGGCCAGCATTATAATCAAGAGAATGAGTATAGATAGACTTAAAAGCAAAAGTCCTTACACAGCTAAAGTAAGGATTCATAGCGGGGTGGTAGTGACACATGCCTTTAATCCCAGAACTCAGAAAGCAATGGTAGGTGGAGCTCCGAGTTCGAGACCAGCCTGTTCTACAGAGTGAATTCTAGTACAGCCAGGCTACACAGAGAAACCCTGTCTTAAAACAAACAAACAAACAAAAAAGAAACCCTGTCTTGAAAAAAATGAAAAACAAAAAACAAAAATTAAAAAAGTAAGGATTTCATAAACAAACCAAACAAGGCATACAAGATGGCTTAGCAGTTAACAATTGCTGCTCTTGCAGAGGACTCAAGTTAGGCTTCCAGGATCCACATCTGGCAGCTCACAACCAACTGCTAACTCCTGCTCCATGGAATCCAATGTCTTCTTCTGGCCATTGAGGGCAGATATCCATGAATACATTCAGCATATACATTCAGACACATAAAGTTAAATATATATTTAAAAATATATATTACAGAATGGGTTCTGAGAGACAGGTCCTGACTAAGAGCATTGGCTGCTCATCCAGAGACCCAAGTTTGATTCCCAGCACCCACATAAAGGCTCACAACTGTCTGAACTATGATCCCAATGGATTCAATGGCCTTTTTTGGCCTCTACAGGCACCAGACACTCACATGGCATGCAGGCAAAACACCCATACACCTAGGAATTAGTAATTAAAATAATGTGTGATTTGACAAAAAAAAAAGCCATTATTCTGAGAGGAAAATGACGCTTGGTGAAGTGTCTGCCTTGAGCACAGCGTCCAGAGTCTCATCAGGAGCCTAAAGAACGCATCACGCTGGAGGAATGTGCAGTTGTAAAACCTAGCTTGAACGGGGCTAAAAAGGACGTACTAATATGTTATCATGGGATGGGAGTCATAACTTGTAGTTAACACTAGTTTGAGGGTGTCGCGGAGCTCTCTCCTGGCACATGTGAGGCATGCCCCCAGCATCACAACCAATCTCTCTAATTTAAAAAAATATATTTTTCATATAAATATATATATATATATATTATTCTTTAGATTATTTTTTGTGGGGGGGTTGTCTGCATGTATGTCTGTGTACCATGCACATGCCTTGTGCCCATGAGG